TAACGACATATGTCAGACTATGACAGAATATATATTAGGAGGGCTGAAAAGTTTGTAGGCTAATATAAAAAAATATTTTTTTATACATTTAATTTTATTATTCAATATCCTTTATTAGCGGTCATACAAATTTAGATACCATTATTATAGTACGATTAGACTTTAGGGATATAGATATTTACACTATCATTGTAAGTGTTCTAAGAAATACATCTTCTAATATATAAAATTCTCGTGTCACAATGTTCGTTCCCATACTACTCCGAAACGGCTCGACCGATTCTTATGAAGTTTTTTATGCATATTCTGAGTCTGAGAATCGCCTACTATCTATATTTTAAACCCCAAAGTGATAAGGGGCCCCTAAAAAAAATATTCTTTTTTTATTACGTGGCATTAAATAATACATATAACACTTAATTTTCACCCCTCTACGATCAACCTCTATTTTTTATTATAGAAGATAGTTACTTTTATTGAACTAAAAAAATGATTCCTAGAAATAATATATAAGTACGGCAAAACAACATTTACCGGGTCAGCTAGTATATATACATTTCTTTCATACGAATTCTCCAAGAATAAATTCGTGGGCGCAGCTTATTAAAACGGTACAAGTCGTCTGATTGACGACCGTCGACCTCCTTTATTGGTTGACCTTGACGCATCCTTCAACCCGGATGGTAAAATTCGAAGTGCGGAACCGCGAAGATTCAAGAGGAATGCGCGTAAAAACAATATATCCACGATTTTGATAAACATCGGAGCCTTTGATCTAACATTCCAATGTTAATAACAATAAAAGTATATTATACACGGAAATAAACTTCAATATTAATCAATGGTGAACGAATAAAGAAGTCTCCAATTCCGCAGTTTTGCGTATGTTTTAATAATAAACCAAAGATGAACCAGAAACTTCCAAAACCTATTTATTCTAGTTACCACAGATTTTTTTATTTATAATTTTTCTACGTTGCCTATTTATAGGTTATTATGTCTATGGTATTATGGAAATCTTTGACAGCATAACTTAACATAAGGTTCTGACATATTCTACGTCTCAGTAACCGACTTCAAAAAAGGAGATGATTAGTAATACGACTAATACCTTGGAATTGGAATTTTATTATACTTCCATAAATTTCACGAAAAAAATCTAGGAAATTATTCGATTTATACAAGATAATATAACAGGTTATGGATCCACGCATTTCTGGATATTTAGGTTAATAACGTTGACAGATATATTGATTTATTTCTTATCTAAGTTACTATTATATTGTAATATGTTAAATCAATATGATTTGCCTAATCTACAAGAGATGCAAAGTACGGAGCTCCATGATCGTTAAACCCTTGACTTTCATGTGACCGTAGGGTTGCCAATAACATTGTATCCGTGAGTTGAACGACCTTGTGATTAGACGTGAGCTGGTCACCGTGGCATGATCACTAGAATGTCAGAAAAATTTACGAGAAAAATAAAATCGAAAAGTTTAACGCCCACCCATTATTGGTGGAAATTATATATTTCTTGCGGCCACCGCGCTTTTTTAATGTTTTGGAAATAAATGTAGCCTGTTTGAGTTAAGTTAATTTTATACGATTAAGAGGATGATAAAAAGTTACGTAAAGACTTAAATGTGATTTCGAATTTATGTAATAAATTTTTGTGGTTTAGTTTTAATTATTAAGAGAAATAATGGCGCTAAGTGGCAAACAAATACTTATTGATGACTCTAGGCAAATAATAACTTACCAGCTTTATCCTCATTGAAGTAATGGTTCAATTTGCCTTTGATACAAGATGAAAAGACTCGCTACTCTCCGATAGTAATCAAGCAACAGAAGCTCGTCGATCAGGATTCTTCAATCGTTCTTCTTGCCTTTACATCTAGAACTAAATGTGTTTACAAACACTCACACACAAAAACTTCCACACACGACCAGACCTGCGCATGGTAAAGATCCAGAAGCTGTCCAGATGTGAATTGCTGCTGCTATTTGAGTTTCGACGCAATTAGATTTTCATAATTGTAACAACGTGTCATGGAGACAGATTTAAAAATGTAAAAGAATTGAACGAGTTAAATTTTAACACGTATTTACAACTGATTATATCATCTCCCTCATTTTATTTCGATCTCGAGGCAAACGGAAGAATTTACCGAAGGCAACCCCTTCCACGCTCACAGTGGACTTTACCAATGTTAGGGGGCTCAATTCTAACCTCAACGATCACTTTCATTTAGATACAAAAAGGATATATGTTCTCGTCGTCTCGGGACGCTTGAAGGAACGGACCTATCTAACCTCTGGCTGCGCGTAGACTGCTATGGCCATCCGCTATTATATGCGAGCCTGTATAGATCCCATAGCGGAAATGCCGAAACTGACCAACTCATTGAGCACATCCGAACGGCTTCAGATTCCCTGCTCGAAAAGGTCCCGTGCGCCTAAATCGTGATACTTGGCGACTTTAACGCCCAGTATGCCGACTGGCTCGGCTCTGATACCACCGATCTCACGGGTAGGTCTTTTCATGACTTTGCCTTGGCATTGACCTGACACAAATGCTTCCCGCCATTACGCGAATACCAGATGGATGGTCACAAACCATCTTTGTTGGTCCTTCTGTTGACCTCACATCCAGAGAACTATCAAGTGTCCGTCGGCCATCCTTTGCGTTCGTCGGATCATTGCATGGTCCGGAGTACTGTGTACCGCCGTATTTGGCACTATAGGTCAGCAGATTGGGATGAAATGCGGTCTTTCTTTGGGTAATACCCTTGGGGGCCTATATGCCTTTCGTCGGATGCTTCAGATGTGTGGAACATGATTGCTTGGCTCCTTAAATTTAAGATAGAACGCACGTACGTATATCGTATAAAAACGTTTATGTTTCTCTCTGTATAATGTTTTCGTTTCGTTTTTGGTTTGGTTTTATTTGTTTAACTCCATATTTTGTAAAGAATTTTAAGTAATTTGTACTGTACTAAAATGTACTGGGCACCCTTCAGGCACCAAGGTTAAACGGCTTAATGGTATTTTTTAAACTCTTCGTTTATTTATAATGTACTACCGATGAAAAAATAAAAAAAAAAACAATTCTAAACTAAATTATAAATAATAATTACATTAAGTACACAAGAAACAAACCCAAATCCTTGAGAAAATTAGGTGTAAATATTACATAATATCAATTACATATTCAGAATTTCAACAACTGGGATTTCCAAATGGTTAACGATCAATAGTTTTCGACAATATAATTGGCTTTTAGTACATTCCTTATGAGTTTCAGATCCGCAAACGTGTCTTTATTGCGGTTTAAATGACGAGACTATTTTGTATGAGAACTTGTATAACGTTCTTTGACTTCATGCTGGACTCCCGTATTTAGAAAATACAGGAGTTATTGTAGTTGTATTCGAGACAAAATATGGTAAGCTGTTTGTCGATAGGAGGCAATGGCAATCGACTTTTTTTTTACACAGACGTGAGATGCAGCTCATTTAGACGCCGCTTGAACCCGTGTTATCCTGTACTGCAGATCGTGAGGTCTCAGGTTGGAATCGCGGGTGGGTTCGACTAAAAACGTTATAATTATTTTACACTGTCTGTCCTGCTCTAGTTATATTCCGGTCGAATGGACATCCTTCCCACCGAGTATGAGAGTTACCTACCTCACCTATCGTATGTTCCCAGGTTACAATACCTCCTCCAGTATGTTCCAGCTCAAGCGATTTCCTTCTTCAGTTTGACAGTTTTTAAACACAGTTTGGAGATCAGCAAGGACTTTAGACTCCCACTAGTCATTAGGAGGTGATATATTTTTGGCATGAAGTTAATAAGCTAACCGAAACGAGATCATGATTTACCTAAGATTGTATCTAAATCTGTTTCGTGATTTTTCATAAACTTTTTCTAATAAGCCTTCTGAGCCTAACACACGCCGCCGCCCGTTTTGGGTCTAAGGCCTGACGGTTTCCTCTCGATGTTTTCCTTCACTGTACGAGCGAGTGTTGAATATGTAAATGAAAAGCTGCAATGCACAGCTGGGATTCGAACCTACGACGTCAGGACCGAAAGTCACACGGCCAAGCCACTAGGCCAATACTGGATACTAAATGCGCTCCAATATTTAAATATTTTTCTATTATTTTATCGAGAATACGAAATTTATTATATTATAGATTACTTTATTCTGATGATATCGGTTTTCAAGATCATATTACATTTGATGGCTGTTTTACACCATAACGCTATAAATATTATTAATGTTACGAACAAAATTCTTGGCTTATCTCATCAGGGGTTAGATTTCACATCTGGAATTTACTCCAATTATTATGTCTTTGCCATTTGACATTTAAAAAATATGTGACCTAGTGAAAAAATCTTTTGAATATCATAAAAATATAATTTATGTTTTACATAATTTAGGCATTTTTGGTTCGGTATTACATTACATTTGAGAATGAATTTTATTATCGTGTTGCATATTAATTCGCTTCATCATTTCATTGATTAGCCGTATACAAAACTATTTAGTATGGGAATCTAATTGTAAACAGCTGCAACATTTAAGACAATATATAAAATATATAAATAATATCCGCCACTTGTATCCATTTACTTTTTGCATTATTTTCCCACGAGTATGACGGAACAGCCGAGTCAGCGATTTAATTGATAACAGCCAACTATATACGATGCTTTGTAACTGTTACAACTCTAGTCGGAAGTATTAGTCCTTTCGCTCAGCTATTTCACACCTTTGTTAGTTGTTACGTAAGACAGTCACGGTCAAACGAAACAAGGTTCATCTCAGTATTTCGAGAGGTGTGTCTTAATTCCTATTTGGAGTCAACATCCGGGCCGCAAGGATCAAGTTACGGTGGAGGATTGAGTACGAATGTCAAGGAGCACTCTCTGTGAGGGCTGACGTTACGTTCGCCGCCTGCTAGTTTTGTTTGCGCTCAGTCGCACCCAACATGCCTGCGCGATCGCCTGTCTCGTACCGCAGCCTCGCCGCTCTATTGCTCCTCATAATGCACATACGTAAGTATTACGAAAGCTGCCTCCACTTACCAGCATATCCGGTTCAATAAATTTAATAATAAATCTTTTAGTGACACATATATTTAAATTATTTTTACAGATGGGGAAAACTTTTCTTGCAGTAAAGATGGATTGTTCGCCGATTACGATGCGGATTGTGAAGAATACGTTAAATGTTCATCTGGAAAAGTGAAAGGACGATACTTATGTCCCGCGGGAAGAGTGTTCAGTGAAGTGGCAGGTGCGTGTATATCGAGCCCGAGTAGAAGTTGCATACAACGTATTTGCGCCACAGGTGATTCGTTTGCATACAACACCCCAACAACCGCGTGTAGACATTATTATCGCTGTGAAAACGGTACCGTTACCGATCACACCTGTCCGAGCGGATCCTGGTTTGATATAGACCGACAAGCCTGTTCCCGAGGCGCGGGGACGTGCTATGAACCTGTATGTGCCGGTTTGCCTGATGGGAAATATCCAGACTCTTCAAATGAATGCCGCAGATTACTACACTGCCGTGGTGCAGAAGTAAGAGCTGTGGAATCTTGCAATGGTGTATGCAGTAATAACTGCCCTGCTCCTAGATCTACGGCTATCCCCATACCGGTAGGCGATGCAGACTTCTGTTCAGACGACACATGCGACTCATTATGTGATAATGCAGGGGATGGTGCTTACGCTGATCGTTCAACAGGTTGCCGTGAATACTTTGTTTGTAAATCACATCGTGTCATAAGCCGGGGCGTGTGTGAACCGGGATTTTTGTTCACGGGCATGGGCTGTGAGTCTGCTGAATGGAACTATTGCCCGTCACCAGCGCGAAGCCCTTGCTTCAACCGTCAGGACGGTAGATACAGGGACTGGAAGAGCTGCTCATCTTGGTACGACTGCCGACGAGGAAGAGTAGTTTCACGTGATGTGTGTGGGCCTGGAAAATCTTTTGATGGAATAAAATGCGTTTCGGAAAAAAGCTTTCCATGCACAGGACCTGAGTTCTCCAAGCGTTGTGAAGGAATGCCAAGTGGGACTTACCAACATCTTGAATCTAATTGCAGTCAATACTACCATTGTGAAGGACCCTTGGAGTTTATGTTTGTTTGTCCGGTCGGAGAAGTGTACGATGGGTCAAAATGTGTACCCAAGTATCAATATTTATGCCCAAACTTGGAAAAGGATTCGTGTTATGGCCGTGCTAATGGGCATTACCGTGCAAAGGATGCCAGTTGCAGAGCCTTTTATGCCTGTATAAATGGAGACAAAGCTATGTATGTTTGCCCAGTTGGAAATGTGTTTGACGGCGAATCCTGTATTCCCGAACGGTTAGATCTTTGCCCGTCGAAAGATTACTCCTGTTCAGGATTAAGTGACGGTTACCATCCCGAAGTTGACTCAAACTGTCGCAGGTATATTATATATTTCTTGCTTACCAACCCTTATAAAAAAAGCATATTAATAATTTAAAAAATGATAATATTTAAATTCCAATAATACCAAGGCACTTTTCAGTTTCCTTATTTAATTAATTTTCCGTTCAGCTTTTAGATTTTATGATAATAAACCTAAAAACTCTTAATTTCGCTTTTAATTAAATATTCTTTATTAACGTGTACATTTTCACTTTCAGATACTTTTTCTGCGAAGGCCATGACCGACTAGCCACATTATCCTGTCTTGGGGGTAAAATTTTTGACGGACACGCATGCGTGGACCGCTTACGTCACGAGTGCGGGACTCCACGTAAGCAGAACACCGAGAGTGGAAAACACTGTGACAGCGACGGTTTCTTTGCAGTCCTGGGTACTCAATGCAAGAATTACTTCATTTGTGTAAACGGTCAAAAGACCTACCTATCGTGTCCCATCGACCAATTATTTAATGGTCAAGTGTGTGTACCCAATAATGAATACGCATGTCCTGATTGAATGTCAGTTAGGGTAAGATCCAGAGACAAGTCTAATGGTAAGATTCAGAGGCGATACAGAGCTAACTAAGTATGTCCCGAATGTCAAAAATGCATTATATTTTGACATAAGAGTCATAGTTCGCGCTGTCTCGACTCTGAATGTTACCGTGCATACTCTCCCATTTATCAAACGCCTTACAGATTTTGATAGACGTGAGAATTGTTACCTGTCTTTGGACCTTACCCACGGTATTGACTTATTCGTCGAAAGTTCGGGAGTCCACGATGTACCTGATATAAAGACTGTGAGCTCACAGATTATTCAGAATTCACCAAGTACCGTTAGCAAATATTCAACTACCTCGTGCAATGATAGGCTCAATATACTCGATATTTTATTAGCATTTAAGCAAACTAGATATAATTTCTAATTACAATAGCTATTAGTTACAAACGCAACAAGCTCAATTAATAAAAAAATATATTTTGATAACATAAACTTAATTTATTAGAAATATATCTTTAATACAAACCTTAAACAAAACTTAATTTATTAATTACACGTTACAATTATAGACACATGTAGCACAATGATTTTAACTACAAATAGACTAGTCTTTCTAGGACTAAATTTTTTAAATATATTTTTTTGGCGATTAAATAAGTAAACATTTTTTAGTTTTACAATCGTTGCATACATTAAAATAAAATATATATTTTATCTATGGGAAACAAACTTCCGCCACATCGGGCATTATACACAGCATGCCGTAAACTATAGAATACCTTCCAGTAAGGTAATTTTCAGAGACAAGACTGCAAATTCTGACACGGAATGTCACACTTAACAGTTGGAGACTTTTGTCTTGTCTCTGAAACTTTTCAAACCAATTAAAAATGGAATTGGTCCACGACGGAAGTGTTGATCTTAATAGTTATATAAAAAGTTCAAATGTACCGCACTTTTTGAATAAACGCTAAACATTTTATATTACAAATTAGTTAAAAAAAAAACAATTGTTTTGTCACGTTTAAGTGTCACTAGAGTTACGAGGACATAATTTAACTGCCTAATAGGTTACTTTAAAAAAGATAAGTTAAGTCAAGGGTAAACAATTCTATAGTTTTATAACTTAAGATTTGAAAATTATGTTATCATTAAGCTTATTAATTTATTTTAGATTTTTTAATTTTGTACAATATATAGAATAACGAATGGAAACAACTTGTGTTTAATTTCTACCATTAAGTTTAATTAATCATAAGAGATCTATTTTTTATAATACCAAATCCATAAATGCTAGAAAATGTTGACTAAAAAGGAATAATTAGATTGCCGTTAAAACTTACAAATATTTAAGACACATAAAAGCTGCATTAGAGCATGGGGCACAAACATTGCTACGTCTATTTAGAATTTCTTGGCAAAAGTTCGTTAACCAAGCCTTAAAGTGCAAAAAAAGGCATTTCCCAGAAATGTATATCGGCTAAATGAATAACAAAATTCAATAATTTTTTTATTAATTGTACCTATGCCATGAAATTCTGAATTTTACAATATGTTAGGAATTAATGATGAATCCTAATAATAGACGATAATATATAAAGCATAAACTCATCATAGTGACACTAATAACTAATTTGAAACTTTCTGAAACCCTGAATTAATTTTATATACCTACATATATCAATTTGTCAAAAATATTTCGTAGAAATATCTATGCATTATTTGCAGTTTTATGCCTTTAAACACTTTGAAGCTTTTAAACGGCAATCCACAGACTATTTTGCTTAAAAAGATTTACGACAGTACTTATGTATTGTCTTTCACATTGTGAGGTATATTTAGAGGTTCATTTAAAAGGATAGGTACTAACAAATATTGAATATTTGATAATATTAATTAATTAACATCTGATGAATCTCCTGTCCGTTTGCCCCTTCTACCGCAAATCCAGTTCCGGTACCTACTCTAAACTAAATACGCAATTAAAAATTTCTACAAACTCTACATTGTAATCACTATCGCGAGTTACAGAATATGGGAATTGGTCTCCAAAAACTCTCCAATATCTCAAGCCAATCTTCGCTTGAGCATTGTCAAATGTCAAAATTCGATAATTGTTGTAATTACTATTTATAGGAACCCCTCTAATGTGTGTCAACATGAACACATTTTTCTAGAGAGTATTCGGGTGATAATTACTTTGACTAATTGAATAATTTAAATTTTAATATTTTTCAAATAGAAGTACAATATCATAGATTTTTTTTTTAAAGACAATTCACACCAATTGACCTAGCCCCATGCTAAGCTGGTGAAGCTTGTGTTATGGGTACTAGGCAACGGATATACATACATATTATAGATAGATAGACGTATAAATACATATTTAAACATCCAAGACCTAAGCACAACACCAAATGCTCATCACATCGATGTTCGTCTCAGCCGGGGATCGAACCCGGGACCCATGGATTCGCAGTCAGGGGTACTAACCACTAGACCAATGAGTCGTCAATATAAATCTATGTACAATATAGGTTTTACGGCACTCACCAGCTGCTATGTAGACATAAATTCAAGTTAGAATATTACATTCGACATAGACAATACTGCAAGATAGCAACATGGATAATACTGCAAGAATGAACGGAGCTTTATATTGACAGCGCTCAAGACAAGATTAAGACTTGAAACCTTTTTGCATACGAGCCTGAATCTTGAAGTATAATATTTGATAAAACAGTTCAGAGAAGCATATATAATGAAAAATACAAGACATGACGTTTTAAACAAATTTAAGGGCTTCCGAAATTTATTTAATAGAGAAATAGAACTTGGTACTTTCGGCTTCACATTCAACAACATATAACTGAGCTGCAAGAAATAACAAACATGCTTTATACAGGGTGTTTCAGACTTTCATACCAAAAATATTGATTATAGTTTTTAATATTTATATCATTACATTTATGACGTATTTTTTACAAACGTGAAACAGCCTGTATTTGCTAAATATAATAAAGATAAATATATCTAAACTGCAAATTTTATAAAATATTATTATTTATAAATTTTATAAACTCTACAAACATCTAAGTACAATACTTAAACCCGCGACATCTCCCACGTAGGAATGCTTTCTACGAAAAAAAACATAAATAAAACAAATATAACAATATCAAAGTTTCTCAAAAACGATTCAGCGGGAACCACAAACTCAATCTCGTTCCTCTAACAATTTTTATAATAGATTTATGTAATTAAATTCGTAAGTAATTTTGGAAAATAAAAGATCTTTAGATCCTTATCAAATCTACAAAAATATATTTAACCAAGCTTAAACGAAGCTCAGCAACTTTTTAAGAGTCACGCTTAAACTGTTTTAACTAATTAACACAGTTCAAACTTCAAACAAAACAATTCCGAAAAATTCTTCTAGTTGTTTATGGTTCAAAAGGACCGTTAAATTGAGTGAACTTGGCTAAGATCTTGAAAGAATCAGTCTTACTACAGTACACAGTATAGACAATAAAAATATTCGTTGATCCACATACTAACTATAAAAAACTGATCTAGAACCTATCTCTGGCATTTATCAATCGTATTATTTTATAGAAACCGGGATATAACGTTTTACGTACCCACATAGACAAATGAGGGTAGACATGTGGGCACCACAAGCGTACTGCACGTATAAGGCTGATTAATATACAAGCGACAACAGTGGAGTTTTAATGAAAATCCAACGAAAAGAATTTCCACCGTTGGAAATACCCAAATATTGGAAATTAGACTTTAATGACAGATTTTAAGTTTAAACATTAAACAAATATAATATACGTGACTAATAATGTATTGACACATGCTCTAGAACTACGGCCATTAGGTCTGACCTTGAAATGACCTTTCGCATTATGGTTATGCGTAGGCAAAGAAACCTTTATCAATAATTTCGTGTTGAAAAATATGGAAAGCGTTCGAGACGTCGGGAAATGGAACTCATTTTAATAAATATAAATATCGGACCGGATCCAATCACCAAAAACACGTGGGCGTAATTACGAGTGGTACCCAAAAGTAAATATTATTGCACCGTTTTAACTAAAGCACTACTGTATTCATTACAGTATTAACAGAATTTGACAATAGAATACTTTAGTTAAAGGGTTATTCTGATTTAGTTTTTTTTATAAGAAGTTTCGAATCGCTGTCATACTTTCGACGACACGTTTATATTGCTAAACTAAACCGGTATTGTAACTCTCAATATATAAAGCCAGATTGAAAACAAACAGACCTCTAAATGACAAGTCATAGACCAAGACAAATATCTTTTAATAGATATAACAAGACGTAGTAGAAATTATTTAAAACAAAAGTGCATCGTCCCCAGACAATCGCATCAGATAAAAATTAAAAAAATTGCTGTCTTTTTGACAGTTAACATTTGACAGTTTGACACCTCTATGGTTTGTATATCTATTCGTAGTTTTACCCTTTTAAAGTCCCGGTCGTAATGGTTATTGGTCGCTCGTTCCGGGCTTCGGAGCAGGCGCTACCAGCACGCTAATATCCCAAACCTGGCAATATAAAATTATTAATATAAAACTTACATTTGCTAAAGTATTTCTGCATCGACATATGCAAAGCAAAGCTTCTTGTTCACTCCTAATTCAAACCCAACATAAGCATTTTGAATGCATTTCCCGCGTCTTTTTATTATAGAAATTCTTTATTGGATTATTTTTTACAGCCAGTAACATTTTCATTCAATTTGTGATTCAAACTCTTTGATGATTCAAACCAAAAACATTCCAAATTCAAATTCACTTTTAATCCTGAGGGGACGACGAAACTTTTTATTGAGAATGAAGTAGCTCTTTTTGAATAAGATAAAATTTTGTTGAAATGTGTATCGGGTATAACCAAAGACAAGAATGTTCTGGTCTCGTTTGTTTAGTTAAAATTACGAAAGTGCATACTCTACTCTATTGATAACAATGACAGATTGTCTACATGCACAAAGACATTCAAGGTTGTCGTATTAAAAGAATTTAATTCCGTCACTTGTAAATTTCCAATTAAATATCCTATACAGTTTTATTGTCCTGTTTACTGACCATTTGGGTTTCCGCCAATAATTAGTTTACCGAAATTCACCCGGATTCCTTACCGAAAATACGGGTTGTTATTTTTAAGAGCCGTTACTTATTATAATATGTAGACAGATTGGACAGCAGTTAATATCATTTACGGTACTAATTTCATTTGTATAAAAAAGTTTTTCATTTGGTTTAATTAATTTTAGTTTAATTTAAATTTGTAGACTTTAATCCCGTAGACTGAACTGATTGTCATATTTTTAAAGATTTATTTAAAATATATATAACAAAAAAAACGTGATTGTACTTATGTACACGCGTTAGAAGTTATACTTCTTTGGCGTAACAAGAGAAAAATCTTTTCAAAATTTTTATCTATCACCATATTCTACGGTTCTAGAAAAAACGACACTAACAATAGAAAAAAAATACTCTCATCATTTTTCCCTAACGCGCCAAAAGTAAAAATCCAAAAAATCTAAAATGTTGACTATAGCTAACTTCAGGGTGTCGGTTTTTGTTACGGTGTGCGCTCGCATCGTTAAATTTACTCTCATAATTTTTCCCTAACGCGCCAAAAGAAGTATAACATCAAAAACTCTTAAAAATGTATTTTCTTAGTGGCTTAAGCGTGCGACCTTGAGGTCGTGCGTTCAAATCACGGCTATGCACCAATGAAATGCGTAATAACGCTTAACGAAGGCAAACATCGCTAGAAAACGTCTTAAGGCAAAAAGTTTACGACGTGGGTCAGGCACAGAAGGCTTGTCTACATGTCAATAAAAATGATTATAGAATCGAATGAAATCTCTGGCCTCAGACTGGAGCGGTACTGAATTATTTTATCATTTTGCTACAAATTTTCCAATCCTCATCTGACCCTTAGCGATTTAAATAATATGACAACTGGACATTTTAGGTCATATTTGCATATGAGTCATGCTACAATTGGATGTGAGTTCTTCATTTGGCCACAAGGTCGTTTCTGAAATATTACCCAACTTACGTAATATATGTTGCATCATTCGCTACTGTTTTAAGACAATCGAAAATCATCTTCATTTTATTGTAATACATTTACCTTGCCCAGCCTGGTCAGTATAATAAGTATCTCAGTATGTAGGTAAGTAGAGTAATTTTAAGTAAGTGAAACTTCTTTATGAGGGTAATTTTTTACGAAAACGTCACGAAGATGTGCAGCGTTTTTGTCGATGGGAGAGAGCGATTGAGACCGATTGAGAGAGTGTAAAGGGCGATGTACCTTATATGAATTCTAGAGTATTCTGAGAGTATTTTATATTTCATGCAAAATAATTTATTGAAATCTCAAATGACGAATTGTAAATTAAAATGCCACGTGTTTTTATTATCGAAGAAATAAATTAAAAAAATATTAAATTCATTAAATTTTTATATAAATATATAGACTAAAACATACAGTCAAAATCTGTTATAACGACATCGAAGGGTCATATTTGGTCGTAAAAACCGATAGCCGTAATAGCCAATGACGTTGTTATTAAGTACCTAATTCAATAGAATTCAGCCCGGACCTTTGATTTTGGTCAATATAACTGGTGTGTTGTTCTAAAGTCTAAACAATGTCGTCGTAAACGGTTTTGACTAAACTTGTTATTTTGATTTTCAAGTGTGCCTTTTTTTAAATTAAAATAAATGATTTGACTTTGGAAATATAATTTAAAAACATTTAGTAAATAAACGTCTGTCACTCAGGTATGATGGTATAATATTTTTTGAAACCGTGCCAATAATTTTTGTACAAATCTTTCCTCTTTAGAAGAAGAGTATAGATGTTATTTTTTTATATAACAGGGGGCAAACTGGCAGGAGGCTCATTTAATTATAAAGTGATACCGCCCATGGACACACACATTGCCAGTAGGCTCGCAAGTGCGTTCCCGGCCTTTTAGGAATTGGTACGCTCTTTTGTTGAACGACCCTAAGTTGAATTGGTTCAGAAATACATCGGTGGACACCTGATATAGTGGTGTTGGGCTGGTAAAACGGCCTTTAAAAATGCTGAGTTGTGCAACGAACGTCGAGGACGTCCGATGATGAAAAAAACACTTTTTTTATAGAACTGGATGCAAACGGGCAGGAGGCTCATCTGATGTTAAGTGATACCACCGCCAATTGATAATCCCAATGGCTGAGGGCTGGCGAGTGCGGTGCCGGCCTTTTAAAGAATTGGTACGCTCTTTTGTCGAACGACCCTTGTTCCACAACTGAGCGTTTATGAAGGCAGTTTTGCCGCACACCACCACTATGTAGAACCTGCTGCCCATTAAAGTATTTCCAAACCAATTCTACTTAGGATCCTTCAAGAACTTAGGGTTAAGAGCCGGCAACGCACTCGCCAGCCCTCTGGCAATGTGAGTGTCCATGGGCGGTATCACTTAACATCAGATGAGCCTCCTACCCGTTTGCCTCCTATTACATAAAAAAATCATAGGTAATACTTTTGACCCGTCCCTTCTCTAGTGAGGCCTGGAATAGTTCCAGGTATGCACAAGTTCTACCCAACCTCACCATCCTTGTTATACTTATTTAACTTTTCTCATTTATCCGTTCCACAAGGTCAACTCGTAGTAAGTCCTCTAAGATGTACAAATTAAATTTGTCTAAATTTAACCTACAAAATTACTCTGCAATTTTAAATTATTCTATCAAAGCATTTACTTTTCTTACCTTTATAACCCTATCCTTGCCAGCTGTGCACATTCGACCTGTGGCTTCGTCCATGTAGAGGGACGCCACCGCGTGCTTCATATCGTGGAATGACGCTAGGGATTCGCGGCTAAAAACATATTACAATTTATCAATAATTAGTTCGGATTAGATTTTATTTATTTAGAATTCTTTGCAAACAAAAATTAACATTTTGGGCATGAAACTAATTAATACAGTAAAGGGAGCGTTCAAGTATTACGTCACGCAATTTTTGGATATTATTGACCCCCCATGTAACGCGCCGTAACGTTTTTCTGTACGCCATAAACGTTTCGTGACCACCCAGTGACTCTTTATACCTAAAAGTTATAATTATGTGGTGTAAAGTACTGGAACGTCGAAAATAATATTAAGAATAACGCGTAATTCAATCCCCGCCCTGCATCGTAACGGACGTATAAAACGCGGTATTTCCCATCTATAACGCGGAGATTTCACAAGATATATTTCTGTAGTGTGTAATTTAAAATGATAATTAGTTTTGCACCTGTTTCAATAGTGTTGTTATAAAATTAAACTAAATTTATTAAATTCAAGTTAATAGTTTTGAATTGTTCAAAAGAACGGTTTTACGAGAATACTCCTACAACGCGATTTCCTATAACGCAGTACGGGTCTACCGCGTTATATGGGGTATTACTGTACTGCCTTATATTGGAGCGCATATAGAATAAGTTTACTCGTTTTCTTTATTACTGAATGTATGGCATCTATTTCATTCATCGTTGTAGGGATAGAATGTAGGTGGAGTAGAATGGGGTAGAATAGACGCGAGCCAAGACGTTGCGCCTACTTAATTCTGTCTCCGACACTATCAACATCTTTATATGGTCGCAGAGTGAGTTCCCATATATACATATATTTTATAATTTTTTCGACATTATCGTATTGGCTTAGTACTGTAAGGATAGTGTATGTATGTTTGTGAATAAATAAATAAAAATCGGTCACGATTCCAAAGGCTGAATTTAGCGAAACTGAAACGATTTAATAATTATTGAAGGAATATTTGGAGGGTCTAGGAGCGTTATCATATTTCCATTACTTTTATCAATCTTTTACTATTACTGATACAGGACATTAATGTTTCTTAGGGGGGGGGAAAAAAAAAAAAAAAAAAAAAAAAAAAAAAAAAAAAAAAAAAAAAAAAAAAAAAAAAAAAAAAAAAAAAAAAAAAAAAAAAAAAAAAAAAAAAAAAAAAAAAAAAAAAAGGAAAAAAAAAAAAAAAAAAAAAAAAGGGGGGGGGAAAAAAAAAAAAAAAAAAAAAAGAAAAAAAAAAAAAAAAAAAAAGAGGGGGGGGGGGAGGAGGAAAAGGGGGAGACAGGGGGGGTGGGGGGGGGGGGGGAAAAGAAAAAAAAAAAAAAAAAAAAAAATTTTTTTTTTTTTTTTTGTGGGTGTGGGGGGGGGGAGGGGGGGGGGGGGGGGGGGGGGGTAAAAAAAAAAAAAAAAAAAAAAAAAAAAAAAAAAAAAAAAAAAAAAAAAAAAAAAAAAAAAAAAAAAAAAAAAAAAAAAAAAAAAAAAATTTTTTGGGGGGGGGGGGGGGGGGGAAAAAAAAAAAAAAAAAAAAAAAATGGGGAAAAAAAAAAAAAAAGGGGGGGGGGGGGCCGCCCCCCAAAAAAATTTTAAGGGGGGGGCCCCCCCCCCCCCCCCCCCCGGGGGGAAAAAAAACCCCCCCCCAACCCCCCCCTTTTTTTTTTTTTTGGGGGGGGGAAAAAAAAAAATTTTTTTTCCCCCTTTAAAAGGGGTTTTTTTTTAAAAAAAAATTTTTTCTTTTTTTGGGGGGAATCGACCCTTAATCAGATAAAAGATTTAAAAATAGATATTTTGGAAAATATTCTGAAATCATTTGTGGAAAATGGTATTTAGTATATATAAACTAAATGGCTTTTAACGCAAGCATATTTTTTTAAAGAAAGCCTATTTTGTTGAAATTTTAGATTTACAATTACATTTTTTTAAGACAAGTCGTGTGTCAGACTCGCTACTCCTTTATACTTATATTGTCGCTGTAGAATGATAACCTCGTATGTCCAGAGGACCAAACATTACAGGAAACGAAAAATGTTTCATTTCGTCAATATTCTTTAAAATATTATTATGTGTTTATGTCTATATTTTAGATGGTAAAAAGGACTTAGTTATTAATACTTACTTCACGATTATACCAGTTAAATGACATAAGAGTATAAGAATAAAAAATAAATGGTTTTTTGACTTCAGGTTATCATTCAGTGACGATATATATACAGTACTTACGGCTCATGTCGAAGCGTGTCGTAGCAGCCAGTGCAGACGCGCTGCGGGAATTCAAAGCCCATTATGGGTAACGGCAAACGATGAGGGGAACACGCCCCACAAACTGCCGCCCCACACCAACGACAGTGATGTTGACGAAGACCTACAATATGAATTTTCACTGTAGTTCATTGTTATTTGTAAAAAGTTAAAAGGTTTTAAGTGTAGAAGGGTTTTGAAAGCATATATAACAACATGGCAACGGTCAGATGTGATTGACCAGCACAACATAGAAACGTATTTTGGAGCGCTCAAGTATTACGTAACGCAATTTTTGGAGATTATTGACCCCCCCATGAAATCGCCGTAACGTTTTTCAGTACCCAAGTACAGAACTGTACCCAAGTCTAGTAAAACGTTTCGTGACCACCTAGTGACATTTTAGGTACTATTATGCGGTGTACGTAGAAAATAATATTAACAATAACGCGTAATTCAATCCCCGCCCCGCATCGTAACGTTTTACAAAAGGAACCCCCCTCCCAAAATTCGTTACGTAATACTTGAACGCTCCCTTACGTACGTATCTGCCCCATGACTCAAACTCAAAATCATTTATTCTCATGTCAATGTCCATAAAGAAATCGTCATAGTCTGACAAAAACTTTACAGGGCAGCCATTTCAAAATAATATAATCATGTTAGTTTTTGTCATAACTATTTTAATTCATATTCTGTAATCATGAAAATTTGCATACAAGTAAACAAAAGGGTTTGTTTTGAAACAAAATAAAAATAATAACATTAAATTACACAGTTTTCTAGAAAAATCACATGTTTCTATCAAATCCGTCAATTTACCGACAGATTAATTTGAAATTTAAAACACATGGATTTTTTTTATTGTAGCCGTAATATTTAGTCAATGTAGTATCCAAATATGATAAAAAGTGGATATTGGTTTTTTTTCAAATCCGACATTGTTCTACGATCATGACGAAATATATATTAAATGCTTGTGATTTACATTTACTGCCAGTTCTCATATCAAGGCCATAGAATGGATGAGAAGAACTATTACACGTCGGAAATATCTGCGAACCTCGCTGGAATGTCCCCACCCGCCCTTTTCCCTATCATACCGTTCCAAAATCCGACCATGTATATTTTTTTCGAATATAATTTTGAAATATTAATAAACTACTATTTAGTGAAGAGGTAGACATAATATATAATAAAAATAATACACAAATAAAATATTTTACATCTTAATTTTTTGTATCTTATTGATAGTAAAGGTGAGCAATAAACTCTGAGACTGATTACAGGACTTTCAATTTAATTTCTTTATTAAAGTAGGTACACAACATCATAATATTTTTTTCTATACAATTATCAGTTCTTAAATACATTCAATTACGGTGAAAATAAATTTGACAAAAAATTACAAAAATATCTAATATATAAAATTCTCGTGTCAGTTTTCGTTGCCATACTCCTCCAAAACGGCTCGACCGATTCTCATGAAATTTTGTGTGCATATTGGGTATGTCTGAGAATCGGACAACATCTATTTTTCATCCCCCTAAATGTTAAGGGTAGTCCACCCCTAAATATTTTCTTTTTATTTTAAGATACTTTTTTCTGTTTTTATTTTTTTATGATACAGCATTAAAAAATACATACAAACCCCTAACTTTCAACCCTCTACGATCAACCCCTATTTTTTTATTATAAATAATATATATGGCAAAACGACGTTTGCCCGGTCAGCTAGTATGATATAATATTAGTTAGACTACTATTAGTGTCAATAGTCAAAAAGTACTTAATAAAAAGACCGCATGCGCAGGTCACTTACCAAGCTGCTTCTTCTCCATCATAGCCCTCACATTCCATATGAAGGGTGCTCGGCATAGCTGACAAATATCACTTTCACGCCACGCCGGTGTTTCCTTGCGAGGAACGCCCATTTCCCAAACGCCCAACGCCCCATCCTCCCCACTCGAGAGCAGCCTCTGACAGCCTCCAACATACCATAACCCTGTCACCTTGTTGCTGAAAGATTTAAGTCATATAGTAACGTGTTAGACGTAATTTAGAAAAAAAAATAATATTAAGTTATTGTTCACCGTGTAAAGTCCATATAAGGTCGTTCGATTTAACGACAAACCCCCTAAAGCGTCGAAATCACTCGGCTTTGGATGGTTAACTTCCATACAATGATACATTCTACATAGCATTACACCCACCCTCAATAACGGCAATTAAATTAAAAAAAGTATTTTTGAAGTTGCCGAAATTAGTTAAAACTGCGGAACTGTGTACGTTCTTTTGTCGCTTTATTGTCTCAGCCCGTAAGAATCCGGACTGTCGGCTAAATACGTCCCCAATTTTTTTAGAAATTCGTCCTTTTGTTTATAAACTGGGATTGTTTGCACGTATCACTAAGATGCCTCAATATCTTAAGATATGAATAAAACAAGTAATAAAATACAACATTATTACTGGCGCAGCAATATAAGTCAGGCGAAAATAACAGACTATACGCAATAGTATTCAAATAAGAATTGATTTTTATGTAATTACTAACACTAGTATGAAATAAACTTTTTCTAATACAGATTTTTCTTCTTTCTTTATAACGATAACTCTTTCTTTCTTGAGTGTCGTTATATAGAGCAAAGAAAAAAGAAACCGAACCGAATTCTTCAACATGCAAATTAAGAGAAAAATGGGTGGATACCTACTAACGCGTTCCTAAGTTGGAATCCATTTAAATTATGGTATGACTACCAGGACAAACAAACATACATACACGCCCACGAGCTTGGACTGACACTGTGATAAACAGATCTTCATACTGAAATATCAATTCTAGCAATATCCATAGCTAACGTGTAAAGCTGATCATGTTAAAAATGAATTATAAGGATCAGATAACGAACTTTTTTTTCATCACACAAAACAGGCGTATAGATGAACAAAATTATGTATTTGAGAATAGATCCTTAACATACTATTGTATGTTTTATGTTTATCAATCTCACTGACAAATAAAATTCTTCAAGAAAAAAACCTAAACAAAAATTTATTTTCAATCAAAATCCAACGAACGAATCGAAGTCGAAATCGCTAACAAAAATTATTTTCTGTGTGTTTCATTAATAACTTCTTAAAACTAATTAACAACTCTTTGTACCCATAAACACTAGTTATTGCTTCGCCGAAAATCAGCCCGGATGTTAAACGCCATTTGCGTAAACAAGCACTCGTAAGAATCAGAAGTTTGCTAACTAAACGTAATAAAATTTAGATTCATTCCTACCTGATTCATATAAGAATAATCTCAGTATATTTTAGTTGACATAATTCAAGAGACAATTTTCAAAAATTTGCTGTAAATTCAAATAGTTGTGAACAATAAGTAGTACTTAATGATACTAGTTACAAATGCTATTTTGCTATTGATAATTTTGCTACAGAAAAAAACTTACATATCCTGAAAAATTTGTCTATCATACAAATAATAATGTAGTGTATTGACTAAATAAAGTGTTGCTTGGTTGTCTCATGCGCCTACGTCACTTGTCAGACTGTCAGTCGTAATCCGACATCCGAACGGAGCGGTTGTGTGTAGGATGTTTGTACAAGTGTTGTGGTGTTGGTGAGCCGTAAATCACTCAAGAAGCAGGACATTACATGTGGCGACGAGGAAAAAGTGAGTACACATAAGTAAAAAAAAAAAAGGAAAGATACGGTGCACTAAACAAGTGACGTCATTCCCAGAGTACTTTGCCTATAATTTACTATGACCCGGTTGTTTTAATCATTAGCTATTGATAGCAGAAACAGTTGCATCTTGACTTCTGAACGAATGTAGATAATTTTATTGTTGACGGGAAATATGAACAGACTTAGGTACTTATTGTTTTCATATTTCATAAATGTTTTGCTTGTATTACAATATTTAATATTGTCGTACCTACATTTAAACAGTAATCAACAAACCTCTGCAATTACTGAGCTAAGGATATAAACAAATAATGACCTATAGGTTCAGCTAATCTAAACTACGGGTACCTACATTAAATGTACGATTGTTTTGTAGACCTACCTACATAGTGATAGAAATATATTGTATAGTAGACCGGCAAGCGTTGTGTGGTGGTTTTTGTTATATTACAAAGTAGTAAACTATTCAAGGGAAACGGTAGGAGAAACGAGTCATGGGGACCACCATGCTTTATGGTGGTTATGCCATTTAATTGTAGAAACGTTGAAAGAATTATGTGAAACGTTGGTACTTTTAACAAGCGCCATCTGTTAGAATGGTGACTATTAAATAAGAAACAAATATTTTGCAATAAAATAATATTGCGGGTATAAATTGAGATGTATCCTATCTTTTAAGTTAGATCAAACTGCAACGGTGTGCAAGTTTGATTGATATCGGTGGAGTTTGGGAGTCTATAACGGACAAACAATGTGACACGTAATTTATATATATTAAGATTATGCTTGTGGTTAGTGATGTTTCTATTTGTCTACAAAAAATAATAATAATAAAAACAATAGCAAGGTTTATATACAACCGTTGACCGTTAAATGGTAGGTACTGTTACCTAACTAACGCAGATTTAACAAAGACCCTAAATTGGATCTGGTTCACTAAATTAATTAAAACTATGTGGTTGTGATTAATTCTGTAAAAGAAAGGGAGTATCAACTCAAAGAGTTGGAACCCAATGATATTAAATTGATATCTGCAAATAAAAATAAAAAGCAGACTAAAAGTCTGATATAAATTATGCCAGTAAATAAAAATAAAAGCAGACTAAAAGTCTGATCATTAAATTGATGCCAGTAAATAGAAATAAAAGCAGACTAAAAGTCTGATCATTAAATTGATACCAGTAAATAAAAGCAGACTAAAAGTCTGATCATTAAATTGATGCCAGTAAATAAAAGCAGACTAAAAGTCTGATCATTAAATTGATACCAGAAAGTAAAAGCAGACTAAAAGTCTGATCATTAAATTGATACCAGTAAATAAAAGCAGACTAAAAAGTCTGATCATTAAATTGATACTAGTAAATAAAATAAAAGCAGACTAAAAGTCTGATCATTAAATTGATACCTGTAAATAAAAGCAGACTAAAAGTCTGATCATTAAATTGATACCTGTAAATAAAAGCAGACTAAAAGTCTGATCATTAAATTGATACCAGTAAATAAAAGCAGACTAAAAGTCTGATCATTAAATTGATACCAGTAAGTAAAAGCAGACTAAAAGTCTGATCATTAAATTGATACCAGTAAATAAAAGCAGACTAAAAGTCTGATCATTAAATTGATACTAGTAAATAAAATAAAAGCAGACTAAAAGTCTGATCATTAAATTGATACCAGTAAATAAAATAAAAGCAGACTAAAAGTCTGATCATTAAATTGATACCTGTAAATAAAAAGCAGACTAAAAGTCTGATCATTAAATTGATACCAGTAAATAAAAGCAGACTAAAAGTCTGATCATTAAATTGATACCAGTGAATAAAAATAAAAGCAGATTAAAAGTCTGATCATTAAATTGATACCAATAAATAAAAATAAAAGCAGATTAAAAGTCTGATCATTAAATTGATACAGTGAATAAAAATAAAAGCAGATTAAAAGTCTGATCATTAAATTGATACCATTAAATAAAATAAAAGCTTTACAATAAAATTATTATTGTACGTTAGTGGGTATAACTTAGCAGATTCAAAATCTGAAATTAAATTATAGTTGTTGGTAGGAGGTTAGTAGCTTTATGGGATAAAAATATAATCCATCATTAAATTGATACAAGATCATCTAAGATAAAATCTACTAACTTAGAGGTTAAAAATCTGATAATTAAATTTATACGTTTGTTGGTATGGACGGCTAAGTAGCTTTATGCGGATAAAAATATAATCCATCATTAAATTGATACGAGATGGAAGCATTGAGATCAATCTAATGCAGATACATAGATATCTGAATATTAAATTGATAATTCTGTTGCCCCAAAGATGTCACTCCTTTCACTGGAAAAGTTCGACTGTAACGGTAAATCTACCTCAATGGGTGCACGGTGGGGGCGATGGAAACGAGCACTTTTCATTTACCTCGACGGTATAACATTAAAAAGACGTAAAGCAAAGGGCCTCTCTTCTACATTTCGGAGGTAGACTTACAGGAAGTGTTTTACAACATTCCTGGGGCTAATGTCGAACCAACTGAAGGCAAAGACGTGTTTGAAGTAGAATACTAAACTTGATGCCTACTTTGCACCAAAACAGAGCAAAGTATACGAGAGACAAATATTCAGGCTCCTTAAACAAGAACCTGACGAAAAAAAAAAAAATATGAGGTGAGACTGAGAAAACAAGCTGATAAATATAGTTTGCCGACAGAGATGAAAACATTATCGACCAAATAACGAAAAATTTTTCTACCGAATGAGAAAAACGATATAAGATTGGGGATGAAATTACATTAGAGCAAGTAATCACCGAAGCAAATACTCTTGAAGTTGTTAATTAACAATTAGAGAGTTTAAAAACCAACTGAAATCAAATGAGAATCAAGAAGTAAACAGGATGGATAGTAAATTAAAAGGAACTTTGATAAATTAAAGAATTTTCTACATGGATTCGGTAAATGTTAGTAAACTTAGACTTGCTGGAAATTATGCAAAATGCCCAGCAAGGAAAAAGAATGCCTAGGTGTGGTTAGGGACATTTCAGACAATACTGCCGAACGAAACAGATGTTGAAGCGGAAAGTTAAATATTATAATAATATAGACATGAAAAAAGAAAGGTCGTTTCGACAGGAAGAAGAACTTAAACATAGGGATATAAGAGCCGGAGTGGGTCCAAAGGGGGTCCCCTGTAGTGCCGGTGTGAAAGAAAATGGAGCATTGAGTGAAAATCACCCATTGCGAGAGACAAGTTGCTACCTAAAATGAAAAATGCAAAAGTATTTACAAAATGATATTAAAGACGCATTTCACCAACTTGAAATAGATCCTGCTTCAAGAAACATAACCACCTTTATAACGAGTAAAGGCTATTCAGATACAAGAGAGTCAGTTTGGCATATATGTAACCGAAAACTGGACCAGAACAAAAGGGGTATTTTAAGTGTTGAAGGAAATCATGAAAATATTCAGTTAGGGTATTATAATGTTAGCGATCGTAGATTGTCATAGCAGATGTAATGAAAAGATCGACACGGAAGTTGTATAAAATCTTACAAAATGAACTTTGTTTTCGTGAGGGTAATATTGAGAGGAATGAGAATTATGGTTCCCTCGGCACTGAGGGACATCCAGGTATCGAGTCAATGAAGGGAGACTTCGTACGAAAGTCTGGGGCCTAGATGGACAAAGAGGCTGAGAATATTGTAAAAGCCTGTAAAGGATGTACTTTGTATCTGCACCATTTCACCAAACCCTATGAAACGGTGAGTTGCAGAATAGCCTGGATTGATATCGCAATTCACAAGTGGTGACCACATATTTGTTGAGTCGATATTACGGCAGGTAAAAGAAGTGAAGATTTGTGCAAAATTACCTCTACTGAAATTGTAGCCAAACTTAAAGGAATATTCAGTCGATTAGGAAATCAATAACTGCAGATAATGGAAGACAATTCATAGCGAAGAGTTTAAATCATTTCTAAAGAAAGACACATTATTCTTTTCAATACAGTACCATACTGGCCGCAACAAAATGGAGAGGTCGAAAGACAAAAATACAGACTGAAGGAAAGTTTACTGGAATATTTAACCATGTTTACTGGAAGAACCCCATCAGAACATTTCTTCAAAAGGATGTTTAGAGATAAATTACCTATGGTAATCGATACAATAGAGAGGACAACACAAGACACTTAGGTTAAGGATAGAGATCAAAAAAAAAAAAAAAAAAAGAAAGAAAAAAATGGGAAAAGGAAAGGAAGGTGAAAGTGGATTTAATACAGGAGCAAAGTGTATATAAAAATATGAATAAAGGAAATAAATTATAATAAAATTAAAATAAATAAATCCAGAAACACAACATTGGAAATCACGAAAGGAGGTGATATCACGGTAAGAAACGATGAAACCGGTCAAACTCGAAGGAGGGACGTTGTACATTTGAAAAGAGTTAAGGGGAATGAATCTGAAAAGAAATAAGTAAGACGAGGAAATGAATGTCGAACTTAACCTAGTGTAGATGATAACCTTTATTTCATTAATTATGTTTGATTCATGTAAAATCCATTATAAAGAAATTTAATATAAGTTACATAATGAGTAATAGGGAGATCTAATAATAAAAACAAATAAAACAAAAAGGGAGGGATGTAGTGTATGATAAATAAAGTGTGTGGTCATGCCTAGTATTGTCAGACTGTCAGTGTAATCCGACATCGAACGGACGGTGGTGTAGGAGTTTGTAAAGGTTGGGGGAGCGTAAATCACTCAAAGGACATTACAAATAAGTTCATAAGGAAGCCTGAATATGTAATTATAATCAAATATGCTTTCCAATAATATCACATACGTATTATAGGTCAAAAAACACAATATTTTTTTTAAACTGTTCAAAATCGCTTAATAGTCTGCATAAATTAACACCTTCAGTATTATATAACCTCTGTAACTGATATGATAACTTGCATGGGCAAGGTGTAAGATTTCTTGGAATTTGCATACACTACTAGATTCTATTTATAATATAGGTACAAAACACACGTAACATTTTTTTTATTTTTTATAATTTTATGGCCTGGTAACGAGACCTTTAAGCCAAGTCTTATTTTCGTCACACGTAACAGTCTCTACGGCAAAAACATTAGCAATCATCTTTTATACAGGATAAGATTCAGATGGGTTATTCTTAGGGCTTATCAAGCTTAAATCTAATACTTTTTTTTTTGAAGATTGACATATTTGACAGTTGCCAATTAGTTCTAGATGTCTATAAAAGATGCTGAACACTGTCAAAACACGATTTTAGGTATTAGACGTATATGTAATCTCAAAATTAATATTGAATATTTTTTAAATTAATTTAAGTCACCGTATATTATGGTATATAAAAATCTATGTCACTAATAAAATAAGTTTTTTTTATGTAACAGGAGGCAATCGGGCAGGAGGCTCACTTGATATTAAGTGCGTTGCCGGCCTTTACCGCTATGTACGATGGAGGAATTGACATCTTATATATAAAATTCTCGTGTCACAATGTTAGTTACCATACTCCTCCGAAACGGCTTGACCGATTTTTATCAAATTTTGTATGCATATTCAGTAGGCCTGAGAATCGGCTACTATCTATTTTTCATACCCCTAAGTGATAAGGGGTGTCCACTCCAAAATATTTTTTTACAGCATACACACACACATACAAAAATACATACAACCTCTAATTTTCACCCCTCTACGATCAACCCCTATTTTGTATTATAGAAGATAGTTATTTTAATTGAACTAAAAAAATGTTTCCTAGAAATAATATACATGGCAAAACGACGTTTGCCGGGTCAGCTAGTATATCATATGATGATCAATCAATATTTATTAAATTAATCATGCTCTCAAACATCATTCATGTAATACGAAAATCAATATAGGTATATATACATAATCTGAAAATGACATGTAAACTTATATTTTCCAAATTGGTCCTATGAAACCGGCCAACAAGTTTTTGTGAAAAGCTGATTCCTTACTAGAAAATACTACTACTACTAGAAATGTCTTAATTATCTTTTAATACACACCTGTGCCCTTGAAGTTCATAAGCTGTTCCCTTTTGACCTCCTATATCCCATACAATTACAGTTTGATCAAAGGAACCACTAAACAGGAGTTGTGGTATTGCCGCCCAATTCAACACTCTAACAGAACTGAAAAGTTATAATGTATTTCATTAATTATGTATAGATAATGCTAATTTAGTCTATGGTTTAATTTATAGGCTGATTGGTTGCTACCAATTAAAATACCTACATTCAGTGATCAAATTGATCTTGCCTGCCTTATTACGAGACACACAGAGATTTTATTTTAATTACATGCTTAGAAAATTCATTATTCAATTAATAATAAAAGGAAAGCATATGTTTGGGATAGATTAAGGTTTTGTTAATGTATTTTAACCTCAGCCAAAAATTACATAAATTTCAACTAAACAAATGTAATGACAAATTATAACAATGAAGATAAAATTTCCTTTGTTTGTGTTATAACACTTTTTTTTTTTTTTTATGGCTCTGGCACGGTTTGTGCATTAGCCAGCGTCAAGTATGAGATTTTTATCATTCGTGCTTTTTGCCTTAGAAATTCGATCATATTCTCCATGTACGGTTTAGGCACTCGCCCGGTACCGCATAACTCTCCCAAAGGCCAAGAACAAATTTAAATTAAATTAAAACTTGCCCTCGAACCGGGAATCGAACCGGTACCCCTCACCTAGCTGCCACTTAATAAGACCGCTAGGCTATGAGGCCCCCGTTATAACACTTTAAAAACTCTTTATGATTTATTTCAACTACAGACTACTACAGAATTAGCATGATTAACAATATTATAAAAGAAAACTTTCCAAACAGCTATAAGTAATAAGTATCTTTATGCATGGACATTATCATATACCATAGAATATTGTACGAAATAATCTATTCTTATGATTTTCATTTGAGGTATGTTGATAAAGACAATAATATCTTAGATTAGAGGATACATTTACATAGGTTATTATTCTTTTATTAAAGTTAAGTTAGACAAATGACTAACAATACATCGAATGTGACCTTGAGACATTAAACATTAAAGGCAAGCCTTCACAAGGTCATCTGTAACTAAATAATTACTTAATGCTTACCCAGTATGCCCTTTTAATGTTGTGACTAATGTTGCTCCATTATTGTCTAATTTTAACATAGTTATTTGTCCACTATAGTCTCCAACAAATGCATATTTTGATTGGGAATCAAATCTAATAATTGCTTAGGAAATTACTGACTATTAAAAAAGTACAACATATTATACAGGGTGGTCCAACTTAGTGACATCAATTAAATTTTTTTAGATTACTCACATCTGGGGGTATACGAAAATACCACATGTATGTTCCGCGATTTTTTGTAGATTTCGAGTTATACATTTTTTTGTAATTTTTTGAATGTTTTCTGCCAGCGAGGTTTCAAAAATTCATATCTTTTTTTGTTGTAGGTATTTTGCAGTTTTTAAAAAATTAATGACGTCACTAGTTGGACCACCTGTATTTTACACTATACCAAATCATATCCTAGGTTAGATTTAGTTACTATTATGGAATAATATTTAAATATTATTTTTTTATTGAATTATACTTGGCAATCCAGGTATATTCCTGCCAATTATTATTACCTCACTTATAAAGTAAACAGCTTAATATAGTAGTGTACACAACATGAATGTAAGTATTTTCAAAAGGATACTGTAAGGCTGTACACCATGCTTCAAAGGAGTAACCACCAATTCTTCTACCTGTTTCACTACAGTGGTAGGAGAACATTTTGTCCCTACTTACAGATAAGACCCATTCACAGCTCAATGAAAATACTACGGCAGTCACACGAGCCGTGTGTGCTAGATATTCGCGTGTCTGCAAAAATATTATTATTACAAATAATAAACCTCAGAAATGTTATATGTACAAGCAATAGGACCAAATACTTTTGTTTAATGTGACTAATGTTTACAGTATTTTTATGCCTATAAAACAAATAATTTGAGGTATAATAAAATACAATAATAAAACTACTCACAGGGTTTATTCTATTACAGTCGGAGGCCAAGGTGAACTCTGAAATGGTACCATTTTCTTGTCCAATAAAAAGTTGCCTTGTCTCCGGAGTGTAAAACATTGAAGTACATCCAGATGGCATATACTGACATATACTTGGCCAATATTGGCCAGAGTCCCTTTTCAACCATACTCGTACAGTCCTTACAAATAATAAGAAAAAATGTTAAATATTGTTTAATGATTGACATAAATATTTAAAAACAATTGCATCTTATGACTGGTACTGTTAATTGATTATTAAACAGGCAGTGATAATTAGGGTGAACTAGAAAACCGTTGCATAGGTCCTGTTAGTTGTCAAACAGGGCGTTTGAACCAGTTTGCAAAGTACCAAAGGTTTAAAAACTAAAATTAATGGTTTCGAATCATAAAAAAACAGATAAAATTAGGCATTTACGATTTGATAATATTTAAAAACACTTACTTATCATCGCAAACGCTAATTACTCCGTCCTCACCAGGTATCACAACAGCAGCGTTAACATCGTCAGTACAACCTTCTAATTTGCTAAGTAGAGCTGGTTTTTTTGTAGTAGAAAACCTATCATTAGGTGTTCTTGGAGCAGGCTTAATTTCTGCAGCCATATTTCTAAATGTAATGAAAATAAAATGTAAACTGTAAACACTTCGTCACAAATTTCTTCGTACAAACTACAGTCTACAAGTACCCGAAAGAAAAACTGAACGTCACAATAATAAACGTCAGTTTTGACGCTTCATGAACGCGCTCGGAAACAATCGTAGAATATTCATATTAAATAAATTAATCCAACAAATAATATCTTTTTTTTAATATTTTTTTTAATATTAATTTTAAATAAAAATTTGTTATTATTTTGAAAAAAAAAGTACTTTATATACAAAATATAAAACCATTAACTAGTATATATTATGTCCATTACCATCAATGCATCACACGGTAATAAAAATGAAGAATTTTCTATCTGTAATTAAAATCAATCTATTAATATCAATACATCTGTAGCCTGACCTCCGAATGACATTGCCCGGAAGACAGTAAACACTTTGCATTTTGCACGTCTTATTGAAATTACTGCAAACCGACTGTATTATTGCCATCTTATAAACCTTCCTGTACGCAAGTAAAATATATTTTGATCTGTACCAATTCGAAGAAGACGTATCAATTAATCGAAAAACTGATTGTTGGTACTTAGTACCTAAGGCCTCTTTTGCTGAAGAACTTATAAATACAAATTACTTACATTATATCTAAAATAAAAATATGGCCAATAAACAACGTACCAATACCTACTTTACTATTTAAATAATAATGGTTCGTATTTTAAAATTGAAAGGCCTTTCTCGGCTGTGTATTCTCGAAATTAGGAGACATTTGCTAAAAGTTTAAAAAAATATTCTTAAATCTGGTAACCCTGATATATGATATCTGCGGATTATTTGCGACTGAGTTTTATCAAATTTATCATTTTTAATCGAACAAGTGCTAACTGCTTCGTAAATAAGAAAATAATCAGTAATCAGTCGTTCTCCAGTGTTGAACAGTATTACAATGGCCCAGGCTGTTAGAAAATTAACCGCTCACGTTCTAAAAAATAACAATGTGGACACGATAATTGGAAATACCGCTCTTAGGGCAAATAGGTATGAACCGGCTTTTTAATATTTACTTACATAACACACCGGTGACATACACATTACAAAATATTACATTGTAAATTGTTTGCAAATTGGTGTTTGGCGTCGAGATTGGCGCATCCAGATACGATAATATTTTCGTTGCTCGTATTTCGTGTGATCACCGCAACGAAAATATTTCTAATTTTAAATTTACTTTTGTGTCTAATGTTAAGTTTATTATATTATTTGCTTCTATATGGAAAGTGAAAATAATAAATACACAAATTTTAGCACATGGTGGGGAAATGTTGAAATGGGTCCACCTGATGTTATTCTTGGTATAACAGAGGCATACAAAAAAGACACAAGTCCCAAAAAAGTCAATTTGGGTGTTGGTGCTTACCGTGATGATAATGGCAACCCATTTGTTTTACCATCTGTTAGAAAGGTAAGCAAGATTTTTAATTTTATTATTTTTTTAACTATGCTCTAGCATAATCTAACTATCAATTTGGTAATACTATAAATTTGATTAGATAGGTACACTGATAAATTTTACAACAATAACAATTGGTTAATTATTTACAAAAAATCCTACTATATTTTTTAACTTATTCACAAATAAGCCATATTTTAGAGTTCTTATTGTTTTACTTGATTGCAAGCACCTATTGTTAATAAAAATACAATACAAAACTTACTACAATATCAATATGTGCGTCTAAACAACTGTACATGTTTTGTAGGCAGAGGAAATCCTTCACAAAAAGGCCTTGAACCATGAGTATGCCCCCATTGGTGGTGAGGCGTCATACACAGATGCTGTTGCCAAGCTGGCCTTTGGAGAAAACAGCCCCGTGTTAAAGAATAAATCAAATGTCACTGTTCAAGTAAGTAATTAATCTGGATGTATTAGCCCTAATTATTATATAAGTACATAGTATGATTGAAACTAAGATATTAGACAATAATTTGTATCCTATTATTTTTATACTCTAATTAATATCATGCCAGGAGAATACTCTATATTTTTAGTATGTAATATTCATATTATATATTAATCATTTACAAGGTTACTTGCTTTCTTAATTACTTTCTAAAAATATATTTGTATGCCTTTATGGTAACGAATCCAACCTTTAGAAGTCTAAAGACCTTCTGGAACTCAGAATATTGGATATTTAATCTGTGAACCTATTTAATTAAATTTTTAAACCACAACTAGCTTTCTCTATTGTTGTTTGGCGCAATACCAGGATGTTCAGAATAAAATATTCACCCCATTTTATGGGAATTTCTGTTTTTCTTAAATCATGCAAACCTTAGTAACTAAGTTCTTGAGTATAGCTGTATACATTTGTCAAGGTTTTTGGTGTAGGCATATGGAAAAGTGCCAAAGCTGATAAACAAGTACTACAGTAACATGTTATTTTAGTTAAGGTTAAAGTTTAGTTTTCAATGACGAAAATTGTATGAAAAACATTTTAGTCAATAACATAATAACGGCTTATTGCAATATAATGTTTAAATTACATTTTTGTTTTATCAAAGTTTCGAACCTCCCCAATTGGCCTTGGGGCAGATACATTCCTACGTGTTTCATAAATATTTAATTAGTAATAACGTAATTGCCACTAATTAGTAAAGTCTAGAGATCTACGGCTTGTCTCTCCGATACACAATTTCGTTACTGTACAGTCTTCATTCACATTATTTTTAGTTTTGGGACTTTCTAAAAATACCTCATCATACTGCTATTGTAAAATTTTCACGTACTTTTTTAAATACTATTCTTACTACATCATAGAAGTGACACATACTTATTTCGACTAAAACTTAATACAACATTTTTAAAACAGACCAAAGAGATCGGCCCCATACACGTATGTAATACAATTTCTGAACCCATAATATATGACAACCAAGTGAAAAAATAATGGTGCGTGTACTTATGTACGCGCGTAAGAAGTTATACTTCTTTGGCTTTCTTTATTTTTTTTAAATATTAAATAATTAATAATAAATATTTAGCGTTAATAATTTAACAATATTTAATATTTAGTATATTATTCAATTATTAATTAATATTAATAATAATAATTATTTATTATTTTATTATATTATTAATTCAATTTAATAACTAGGTAGGTTTCATAACCTTTTAACTAAGTAACAATAGGTCTTTGTGAAAAAGCATTGCTAAATTTCTTTGAAAAAATAATTAAAACTCCTTTATTTGTTTAAAAGGTACTACAAATGTCATTATGGTCATTCAAAATTCTTGGCATAGCTGCTAACGTCACGCATATTCTCTTTCTTTTTACTTGTAGATTGTCTTATTCCCATCTCGCTCGCGCACGCTCGGCGCCTATACTGATAATTTTGTGTCACGGTGCGCGTGCATCGTAAAATTTCACTCTCATAATTTTTTCATAACGCGCCTAAAGAAGTATAACTTCAAAAATTGTATTTCTAAAGAGATCTAAAATTTCCCACCTAGGAACAGTTTTTATTGGAAAATTCAACTGACATCAACAAATTTTTCAAGATCATAATTAGCCAAATCGGTCCAGCCATTCTCGAATTTTAAAGGCAAACGAAGATATTCATTTAAATGAACAACGACTTACTCCTTTGACAATACATAATCAAGAAAACCGCTTAGATCTAGTTATTGATTAGAATGTAAAAGAAAAGTTGTGACTCGCATCACAGTCACAGCCGCTCACGTGATGATTGCGTGCCTAGATAAAACTATCTAGACCGAGGTACGTTTACCCAATACTAGTAACTATGTGCTAATTTAGACTGCCTTAGTTACATGGCGTATACTGAGCTATATTTCCATATACAGACTTACGTGTACAAAATATAAGTTGCAGGCTGATTCAATAGACGTCTTGATTAGAGAGATTAGGATAAATAACAAACTTACGTTCTTATCGTTATTAAATTAAAATACATCACGCTACAACCGTTTTAAGACTGGGCCTGTGCTTGAAACACGTCGACTTCATGGGTTTAAGGCAAGCCGGTATCCTCTCGAAGTTTTCCTTCATCGTTTGAGAGAATGTTAAATGCGCACATAGACAAAGTCCATTGGTGCACAGCCGGGGGTCAACCTTAGGGATGAGAGTCGCACGCTGAAGCTACTTGACTATCACTGCTCTTTATTCATGTGCCCACAGCTAGGACTAACCTTCTGAAAAGGGCACATATGATTCGGTGTATTAATTTAGTTACCGAATTACATAGGTTAACGGACCTTTTTCATTGTCCGTTGAGTGAACTGGCAAAAGTTCTGTTATTTGTTAGTGCCTATTTTCGTATATTTGCTTTTTGTTTCGTCTGTAAATTTTATTTACTCTTGTCAATTTAGGGTCACCTGTTAGGGCAGGAGTGTTTTTATAAATAAATAAATAATTACCAGGACAAAATATAATATACTTATTAAAGTAATTAAATAATTATTAAATTTAAATAACCTTATAGTCCTATTAGTATGTTATTAACTAAACTGGTTACGTAGTTAAGTAGTTAGTAACAGTGTTTAAATGATCACTCTTCAGTCAACCAAATGTCGGGAAACTGTTTCATCTAGCACATTAGCTGACGTACGCGTTATCTATACAATGTAATATTCTTAACTCGTAAAAGTTTTCGTGCCTGTCCAGATTTTACGAGGTAAAGTTCGCCCAGTGTACTTATAGCAGGGAAAATTCTAAAACGACCTCTGCGCAATAACAGTGGCTTGTTGTATATTTCTAAATATTTTCAGACTCTGTCTGGCACTGGAGCCCTCAGACTGGGCCTTGAATTTATCACGAAGCACTACGCTAAGAACAAGGAGATTTGGATGCCGACACCCACATGGGGAAACCACCCTCAAATCTGTAACACTCTGAACTTGTCCCACAAGAAATACCGCTACTATGACCCTAAGACACATGGTTTTGACCTTAAAGGAGCTATTGAAGATATCT